GACGAATATTAATCATGCTTTTTGTATCATATTTCTGATCATGTGATTTGCTATACCTCATTTTCACTTGGGTAACACTCTCCCCTCTTTAATTTTTCTTCCTCCAGAAGAAAATCTAATCTCAGTTGTATTTGATTTCCTTGCAATATAATTCAGATATGATATCATTTAGCATTTTTAGGGAAAACACAAAACCCATCACAATTGTGGCGTTTTAGGGCTAACACCTGAACCCATACACACGTTGCTTATCCAATGGCTTTTTAGGGTCACTGCCAGAACCCGCCAACCATATCTTCATTATATCTAATTGCTTCATTATTTTTAGGAATCATATTATCCCAAGTTCTTATTTTCTTTCCAATAATTTCTTCAAATTTTCATCAATAAGCATACTTCGCAGGTTGAAGACGTAAGAGAACCTGTTTATACCTTCACTTACTACCTTTTGTAGATTCATGACGGCCAACTAAAATGATCTCTATCGACCAACTTCTATACGGATATGCTTTTTAAAAATATCTCATAAAATTTGTTAGATCTAATTCGTTGATCAATAAATCTGCTAATGAAATTTGTGCAAAAATGTGTAGACCGTGGTATTCAGTCTAGGCTCTAAAGCCAGAACAGCCCTCAGGTCTTATGTCGACATCTCTTACATTCACAGTCTTTGTTGAACTTATATAGGGCTAATATTTGATAATTCGTCAAATTATGGGATTTTGAGTGATATAAATATCATTTGCTATACGCTGATCTTGTCAAATAAATTTTTATCAAATATTTTCTCTCCTGAATCAATTCAAAATGCCTTCAAGAAATTCTAATTTAAAACGATCTGAACGTGCTAGAGCTTTCCGTTTTGAAAGAAGAACTGAACATCTTCGTGAACAACTTGCTTGCCTTCGGTTTTCTCTTCATTTAGAAGAACAAAAGAAACTTCTTGCTGATGAACTTTTAGAAGTTCATCAAGATTCACAAGAACTTCGTGAAGAAATACAAAATCAGAATAATACAATCTCTCTCATAAGAGAACGCGAAGAAGAATTACTACAAGGCTTGGCTGTTTTAGAGGTTCAAAATTTAAATCAACGGGCTGTAAATTTGCAAGAGCAGTTGTATTATAGGAATGTAATAGAAGGAAGGGTTTTTGCTGATGTGGATAGGACTTGGTGGTGGATTTGTATTTCTCTCTTGATTGGATTTCTTTTGGGTTTCTTTTGTTTTCAGTATTTTCTTGAGTAATGATTTTTGGCGATAAAGTGGGCGATGTAATCGGTTGATTTTGGTAGATCTTTTATGTAGTACAATAAAAGTGTTTGTATCTCATCTGCAATTATCAATTTTTCCACAAATTTGATTTCCATTTGTGATTGTTAATCACGATTTCGATTGATAATCCAAAATTGCATTTCCATAAACGATTTTTCAAAACTTTTCACATGATTCAACTTTCAGTTTCTCGGAGCATGCACCAAAACTGTTACCCGAAAAATAGGACATTTATTTTTAGGTAAGAGGTTGAGTTCGTTATGTTATAAATTCTTAGTTGATTT